AGGCTCCACGGCCGAAACGTTGTGTTCTCTTTCTTCTTTTTTTCAGCATGGAATAAACCTATTACTTGTTCCTTTGCAGTCTTAGAAAAAGGCGTTCACGGGGTGTGTTGATAGAGCTTCTCAAATCCGTGCGAACGGGGGTCAGGAGAGAATGTAAATACAGGCGCGTCACAGTCGTTCCCTCTGAAACTCAATAACTGGCCACTGGAGGGCGCGCCAGGACAGCAATCTATCCTCCGCAAATGTGAAATTTCCACCGCAAGCGTCTGCCATGCAGCCCGTAAACACCGGGCCCAGAATTCGTCCACAATACACTGCCTTAGGTGACCATGACATGCGTTTCTTTGATATTTAGGACACAACAACGAATTCGACTGGACATCCAAGTATCTGGGGTACTAAAAGCCACTCGGGTTTATTCTCTGATTTTTCAGCATCACTTATTCAGCGACAAGTCTTTCAGCATTAATTCCAATTGTTCAGAAGCAGGGTCTCGGTTTAGTGCAGTGGTCCCCTACTCGCCGAGCCAAGGACTGATGAGCTAATAATTCAGATGTGGCGACGCGGTATTTCTGAGCAAGAATACAGCTATTTGAATGGAAACTCTATAGATTTCGCGATGAGCGTGCGAGCAATCGAGGTAAGACGCATCACAAAACTCGTTGTGGGATTAGTTATGGTAAAGTTAGATCAGAACACTACTGTAGGTACTTAACTAAGAGCTCCAGCGCTATAACTCGCTTCAAGCAGAATCTCTCCGGCTGGAACAGAGGAGGCTTTCAAGTACAGCACCAGGAGAAAAGGACAGTGGCTCACAAGCTTTTGACAGATATTCTTGGTAAAAAAAAAAAGGTGGAGGTGGAGTAAGAACGCAGCAGATGAAGCGAGCAGGTTGTGCTGGCAATAATAACGCGCCGTCACAACATTCAGTCACCAGTCCCACAGGGCTCGGAACAGAGCGCTTTTCCCACGCCTCGCTTTCTTTCAACAGACTTCTGCAGCGCGGAGTTTCGCCGGCCCTGCAGTACAAACGCGTCCCTGTCGGAACACAATTAGAATTGAATGAAGCTGCGGCTGCTTTTCATCGAACCTCACTGCGAACACAGAGGACCTAGCGCAGCGTTAACCCTTTATCCGGAAACCCTCCCCCTCCGGACTGCCATTGGCAGATTCCCGTCTAAAACAGAAGGATTCGGCCCTATTGGGTAAAGTTTTTAAGACCGGCTTTTAAACTCCGTTTATCTCTGCTCTTGCGTTCATAGAATCCCCAAATAAAGGGGCTTTTAAAGGCTTAGGCGCTTAGTTCACACACAAAGCCTGTGTCTGGACTCAACGCGATGGGACAGAGTAACATTTCCATATCGGCACTTGTGACTGCTGGTCACTAATAATTCAATTAAACATGCACACCTATAGATAAAAACGCGATCAATGCCGTCTTTTAAAATCTGATTTATACCCAAGTTTGTTGCGCAAGTTTTTGACTGCGGATCCGTGCGTCCCGTTTGGACAATTAGGGACTACTGGGATGTAAAGTTCACTCCACGCGCAGTATAAAAAAAGAGAATGTTAAGTGGAAGAAGACGAGAGCTGCTTTTGACCTGCGTGGGTCTGGCGCTGCTTGTCGCCCTTTCGCGAGGACAGGACACAGAGACGAGCAGGAGTGTCCCGCGCGTGCCCGTGCAGGAGACGCCGCGGGTCGCGCGGCAGCGCACCTCGGACCGGCCGGGCTCCCTGAACTCTCCGGGGGAGCCGATTGTCGCGCCAAGAGCGAAAACCAAAATCCCCAAAATCAAAGCACCTGCAAAAGTGAGGAGCGAAGCGACGAATTCTACCAAAAAGAATAACAAATTACCTGGGTGAGTACTATTAGTGATAATATTAAGCGTTACTGTAGTGTCTTTTGGTTGAATAAGCGACGTCTCTAAATATTGCATTGGACATTTTTGTTGTGGGTGTTTGAAAGTTGTCAAGTTAAACTGTACATCCACACCACTATATATTGTCTCGAATTATCAGAGTTTTAGCGAGTTTACACGCTGTCTAAACCTGGCACAGCTTTCAAGTTATGCAGCTGTTAGCTCGGCAGTGTTTCACAGGCGATGTAAAAGCTATGCAGGATCTCGGACTTTTTCCTCACTGATATGCAGTAGATACTGTAGTTCAAACGGAACAAATTGAATATTTCAGAATGCCTTTCCACTGTGCATACTGAGAAATGCAGTTCAATATGATGCATTTTCACATTTCCTATGTACTGTAATTGACACATATTGCCTTGGTCGCTATTTGGTACCTCTTCTTTGAAGGTTTTCTTGAATTTTCCTCCTGAAAATATTTCAGTTCCGAACTGAGACAGGCTATAGATAACTCGGTGAAGATTTCGACACTTTTCTTTCTGGAGAAAACAGCGCTGACAAGGAACTCCCGATTAGAGGAGACTCAGGTGGGATTTAAAATAATTAGAGGTTTTTGAAAGTTAATTAGCCGTAGCTTCGAAGAACAGATAAGGCATTTGAGTTCCAGAAGATTCCGTGTGCGATGTTACAGATATCCCCGAACCTGTGCTGTCATCGTCCTTTTTTCTGGGGTGTTTTGATGGTCTCTCGCTCTTTCCCCTGTCCTGTCCAGTCCAGCCCGTCTGTATGGATTTCGTCTGTAACAGACATGTGCACAAGTGTCACCTGAAAAGAAATCCGGTATAAGAATAAGATTCAACACTAGCAGTTATAATAAAAAACGGATTATTTGAGATAACTTGCTATGTAAAACGTTGTCGTGTGCAGAAAGAAAAAGTAGTTTTGTCCAGCTCAATTTCTCACTTTTAGTTTTCATTGTGTACTTGGTTCAATATTTTAAATGCTTATTAGTTTTTCATCAGGTCTTCAACTGTGACGAGAGCACTTTTTGGCGATTAAGTCTTCAGTTTCCCACCTATAAATCACTACTGCCTATGTCCAAATGCGCCAGTAAATACCCTGCTATGAAGAATAAATGTGTAACTCTCCAGTTCGCTATTATAAACGATAAATTATTCTCAATAGATTCTTCTGCTTTAACAAAGAATTCAATATTTAACGGTATACTAACAAATACTCGCCGTTTATTAAGAAAACCAATGGACACCACAACTCCCAGCACGCAGTCAACTTCTTGTGTTGGTTGAAGTTAAACTTGTCAGCTGTTATGAATGGAGGGAATACCGAATAAAGTATTATTGGATTATTGTAATCAAATAAAGATTAAAGACAGTAAAGTACAATTTCAAGAACACGGAGACATGCGATGACTGGGGTACACTTTTCTCACTCTTGCTGTAGAGAAAAATGATAGCAGCAGTCATTGTTGGTTGTGACATTGTTGCGTGTTAGTCATGTTGGCAGACATATTGTAAGGCAAAGAATCTCTTTAATAATATTAGCTTATGATCGTATAAGTCTGTTACACCAGATGTATGACAGTGATTAAGAGACACTAAGTAACAATGTTCACCGTATACCCGATGTATTCGGATTTTACAGTGAAAAACGACGCAGAGGACACAAAATAATGGATTTAGTCTGTTCATAGCACGGACGTATTTCGGTGTAGCGCAAGACAGGAAGTAGATTATTGACAAGTTTTGTTGATAATTGTTTATTCGTTTAGTGTTTTTGTTGTTGTAATTGTCTCCATTCGATTCTAGGTGAGTATATAAACCAACGTTGCTCCTGGAACTTGTTTCTGGTCTCTCACAGGGGGCCAAAGAAGACTTTTTACCCACATTTTGTTCCGCGCCATCAATTTCCTTCCTGGGATTTCTTTGCCTCGTGGGGAGTAACGGTTAAGCAGATAGGCAGCCGCGATTAATAACAGTTTTCAATTACTGTGTAAATAATACTAGCGTGAAGGGCACCAGGTGGTTTAGCGAGGAACAGTGATATAGTTTTATATGTAGTATAAAAACATTTGTAGGGGAAAAGCAGTGTCATGTGGATCAAATGTTACTTGTAAAATGAAAGCGAATCTTGAAGTTTGTATTAAAACCTTTAATTAGTTGTGGGTATATGGACCAGACCTCCCATGTAGATGATTAAAGCCCAAACTCTGGGCACGTTTAAGAAATGGCTTGGTGAGATTTTACTTTCACTTTAGCTACTAAACTACCATATGATGATGGGCCAAAGGGTCCCTTTCTTGTGTTCTTACAAAGGAGAAATCCATTTAAACCTGATAACCGGAGCTCTTCACAAAGAGTTGTGGGGGTCTGGAACAAGCTACCCCACCTAGCAGATTCCTGATGTCTCTTACTATATGTGTCACAGTAGGGTTCATGGCAAAATTAGTCTTGTGTGTTGCATCAACATCTGTGTCAGGTTTTATGTCTTAAACATGCTTGGAATTTTCCAGTACAATTCCACTTGTGATGAATTACCATTTTCTTTTCCTTGTTAATTTTTGTGTGTGCAAGAAACAGTATTTTATCATCTGTATTGTCAAACCTTTTGAGTTGTTTTGCCATTTTTTTTAAAGTGGGTACATGTGCTAAAATATCCCCCTTCCCCAAAGAATGTGTGAATGTTTAAACCCATCGAATTTCCTCAAGTTTTCGTTTCCTGTCATTATTTCCCCTGTGGCTATTTAGAGAGGTCAAATAGTTCCTGAAGCTGAGTTTATAATCATGTTCCTCAGTTGGAAGTGAATTTATGGATGGCTAACCTTTATACATTACTCATTTCTACCCAGTGTAAACATCTCTGCTCATAAATTGCATACTGGTTGCTGGTGCCCGAATATCACCCCCTTAAATATACATATCTTTATTTTCTTTCTGGAAGCCTGTGTTTTAATTCGGAGTGAAGACTTTGTTAGTTTGCAGACCTCGTAAAGAAAAGACAGCAAAAGCCGGTGTGTGTGAGGGTTCCGTTATGGCACACAAACGGAATGTATTACTCAAACGTACTGTGTTGTGTGGCAAAGGATAAATACACATCTAAAACTGGGAAACTACCATTTCAGATCCATTGAAGGGAAAGAAAGAGCCACATGGAATTGGCTGATTACAAGTGATCCATAGCTAATCTCTTCCTTCCCTTCCAAAATTCCTGTCGATCTAGGTGATGGTTTAGGATGTGGTAAAGTCATTTTCCTGCATGTGAGACAGTGGGGTATTTGACATGGTGTTGCCCCTGCACCTCCTTTGAAAGGACCATCCACAACCTGAGCAGACCTGTAAGTTAGTTCACTCATGTCCAGGGTATGTGTAGGCACATGGAAACACCCAATTGTTACAGCACCTAATTGCTATAAGGACTATGATACAGAAAGAAGGCTTTAAGAGATGCACCTTTGGAAATATTTTAAGTTGATCCTGTATCATCCGAATCACTGAGAAGAAGCTTGTTGAGCAATAATGGGCACTAAAGTTATATTGCACCTTGAAAGCCACTGTATTCTAGGGGCTCCAGTCACAGGTTAACTGCAATACACAGAGTATCTTTTCCACCCAATATAAGCTTCAGTATACAGTATGTACACACTCATACATTAAATAAAAAGAGAATGGACAGAAAGTTAATGGAAACTCTGGTCCAAACCATCTTTACAATAACCAGTTTTTGGGTGAGAAATATTTTGAAAGACACAGACAGTTTTTATGAAACACGTAGGCTTTTAAGAATAAAAAAAGCGGATCAGTGTTCTTGTCTATATTGTAGTATTTTGGGGGAGGGTTGGTGTTCTGCACATTTCTATGTGTCCTAGATGCTTAAAAAAGCCGGCAGGTCTGTTGATTGTGAGCTGACAATATCTTGTCGCAATCACAGTAATGCCTTAATGTTTTTACAACAGAGTTGGAAAAATAGCCCATTTAACAGGGGGTTGTTTGGAAATGAATTGGTATATTTTTTTTACTGACGGCATTATTAGGTTTTAATACCTAAAGTTACCAAGAGCTCTGCCCTCAGCAGCACCCAGAAGTGGAAAAATCTCTTGACAGCTCCAATTACAGTGACGAGCAGCTGGGTTAAAACTCAATCTCCACACTCACATTTGTACTGTTAATGTACTTAGTAACTTAATCCTTTGGCTTTTTCTTCTCATAGCCACGGAATCTGTGGAATCTCTTTCTTTTAAATCATGCACTAGTACCGACAGAGTTTTCTTTGCATAGGACAAGAGAGCAGAAGGTTTCACAAAATGCAGCTTAAAAGTTCTGATCTCTTACCACGGTGTAGAATTCAACATACGTTTGTAAGGAATAAATGAACCTCAATAAGGCACAAAACATGTAAGAGCTGGTCGCCACAGGACTGGTTTTGGCAGCTTTGTGTATTTTTGACACAAACTGAACATTAAACCTTACAGCAATTTAAAGGGCTCCAAAGTCCAGCTATTGGTCCTGGTTGTGGAACCCAGGCAGTGAGTCCTGCATCGACAGCATTGCCAGGGGGATGTGGGGAAGAATCCTTCACTCCTAAAATAGCTTTCGCTTACCAGGAAAACCTGTTAGGATTCTTGCATCCCACAAACTCTGTGAATGGGACTCACGCATCCGTGTGCACCACATGATGTACCACCTGGAATATCTCAACAGTTGTCCTGGTGACTGGTTGCAAACAGGCATTTGGTGAGCTCCATCCATCTTCTCCGAGAGGCCCTCCCACGACTGCTGAATCTTAATTGCTGGAGCATGACATGTCGTTTTCTAAACCCTATCTATAGCTTATTGCCATTACTCTGTTTGATGAGATCTTTAAAAAAAACAAAACTTGACTCCCCAAGTTAGTACGGTGTCAGCTATATGATAATCTTGTGGGAACTCCTTCTAGTATCTCCCAAAATGGCATCTGTAATGTGGAACCGTAATATGTTTTTTATAGGTTCCTTTTGGTATTGAGGTCTAGTCACCTCTCAAGGGAAGCATATGATATAAGTGAAGAAAGGTCAAGAACTGCGGTTTGACGGCTATTGTAAATCTCCGCTTCGTTCAGAACAAATGACACAGAGAGAGACGGGTCAGCTCAGAGCTTACAAGACCTCTCCCTCAGGTTCCGTTTTCTTTTTTCCCTGTTGGTAAATCCGGCTAGGAACTGAGGCAGAAGGATGGTTTAACGGAGCATGAAAAGAAGGAATGTTGTTTTATTTTCTCTCGACCGGATCTCTCTCTCTCTGCATATGGAGAGTGCACTGGGGGGGTATATTTTGTTGCCCTTGATTTTGCTTGAAAGACCAGGTCAGGTGGTTTTCCCATCTCGATCGGGGCGTTAATCACTGTCTAGTTTAAGGACCAGTTTCCTTCGGAGGCCTCAGCAGCCAATTTGAACACGTATTGAGATGGCCGAGAGTTCCTGAGCATGTCTCTCCGTCTACAGTAGGTGAAGGGTCAGCGATGACTCCCTGAGAGGTTTCTTCCTGGCAGTTGTACCAGTAATCTTGCATCGTTTTAGATGTTTAAAGCCTTTCACCTTCTCAACACATCAGAGCTCATGTGTGTTATAGAGCTGGAGCGTGATAGATGCCTATTTGCAGGGCGTTTCTCTCTTTTTGCTGTGCTTTTACAAGACAAGACATGTAGTGTAAGCTGTGTGCCTAACACTGGTTACCAGCACGTAGTTGGTCAAAGTGAAATTGAGCAGTACTGACATTATTTAGAAATTGTACAAGGGGGACTTTGAAAGCTTAACAGCCCTCATATACTGTAGTTATAATTCACAGCACGGCGTGGCTACTGATGGAAAAAAGAACAGGAGTACTATGTGATTAAAAAAGGTTGTGCCTGAGCAGAAACAGTAATTAATCCGTTAACCGTGCATATACACAATGTATATGACAGTCCAAATTATTATAATAAATATAATAATGTTATTTGGATTATTACTGATCAGGTTTTATCCATGTTCTTTATTCCACTGATTGGAAATCAGGGTACATCTAGGGTGGTTTTGAAAGATTCATCTGGCTGTAATTAGTGCTGAGTCAGGGGTTGTACCATGCTTTGATAAAAATGGTATATACTGTATAACGTCCATTTCCAATTTTGATTCTACATAATGTTGTTTTTGTGACGTGGAATGAATTTTTAATGAAACCTCGCATGGAATATCTGCGCTTTCTTCATAACATACCAAAACTGTTAAATCTGTCAGAAATTGTTTAGTGACGGATGTCTGAATAATAGTTTGGAAATGCCAGTTTCTAACTGGTGTAAAGCTCTGCTTGAGGGTCAGTAATGCTTAGGGGTTTTTTTTCTTATCGTTTTGCATATAGAGATTCCAGTTCATCTGAATGAGGAGGGAAGATGAAGGGGTACTGAGTATTTCAGAGAAGTCTGTTCCTGTCTGGGGCTTAGAGCTGTTGTACAGTAGCTGTTTCTTTGGCCAGAGGTTTTAAAGGACCCACAGAGCACACTTGAACCAATGAACAGTGAAGCCTGTGCCTGTAACTGTTAAAACCCACTCGTCTGACCGTTTCAGAGCAAGGAATGCAGGTCTCTGTTGTCAAGGTATAGGAGCAGTTAATAATCCTTCAGCTCCACAGCACAGCATTGATTCGGGCCTTTTTCGAGAAAGCCATGCTTCAAACGATTGTCTGTTTTCCAGCCCTTAACTGTGCCAGTTAATGTAGGGGGTGGCTGGGGGGGATGTCAGTCCATTGTGTGTAAACAGTGATCCAGTGTTGACTTCCAAAGCCGTTTGTGAAGCTGCTGCTTCCTGCCTCTTGAACTTGGGATTGGCTGGGCGCGGGACAGCGGCGTTGCCTGGCGACGGGGGGAGGTGGGCGCGAGGCGCAGGGCAGCACGCTGCGCCCGGATCGCGGGGCCAAGCCGCGGGACGTCGGTGCCGAGGTGAAAGGAGGGATCTTGGGTGGCACGTAAAACGATCTGCTTCTCTGCCTGCTCGGTCGATCATCACAACCTGGCTGCGTGGCAATAATAATCTAGGCCAGCAACTGGGATTTCAGTGGGTTTAAATAAATTGTATTTCTTTCCTGAGCCTTGACAAGGCACTTAGTGCATGACAGGGTTACAACGATGGTGAGCGTATGTTGTTGCCCTCAAGTCGTGCAACAGATTAACCTATTGTAGGCGCGATTCCTGGCAGCTGAGCTTTCCGACGTCTCCGGGCTGAGCTTTAGCCCCTTTGACTCGTGATATTTTCCTAAATAATCATGAAGGATGACGTCGGTGTGGGAAGTGCCAGCGAGCGAGCCAGTGAGCTCGGGATCTCCAGGATGAGGAAGGGAACCTCCCGGGTTAAAGAGACACGAGGACGCAGGACATTCGGGTGGGTCTTCACTACAGGCCTGCGAGAGGAGTGCAGATGCATCACGGAGCTCCTATCGCACAACCTCTGACGGCGCAACAGACGTCAGACGAGACACGTTTCAAACACGTTGAGATCTCGATTCTGCTGTTCAGTGACAGTGTTGATCTTGAGAAACGCAAGGAAGCCCCTTCAGTTCAGCGTGCTGAAGCGTTGAAACAGCGCTTGGAGCCATCTTCCATTCCCCCGAAGAGCGCTCTGCTCCGTCGTGCCTGCGCTGCTCAGAAAGCCCCCAGCTCCTGTCAGCAGCCGGACAATAAACCCACGGAAGTGTAACTGATTAGAAAATCCCACCGAACAGGGGAGGGGGGTCTGTTGGCGTTAATCTCCCTAACTGCTGCTTTGAAGTGCGGGCCGTCATCAAAGGTTTCGTGTCGGGTCGTTAATTGCCTTTTCTCCCAGGAGCCCTGAATTAAAGGTTCTCCCCCGAGCAGGCCTCTCCGAGGGCATTTAATCCGGTTTTGTTTTCCCGTCCCAGAGGTGAAAGGCAGCCGGCCTGTACCCGTGTGGGAAAGCTGGATCTCTTCATGCGTGGGATGTGCGGTGGAGGATAGAGACCTTCTGATGGCCCATCCCATGTGCTGGTGTGGTGGGAGGCGTAGCAAAACGGAATGTAAATTTACCTTCCTGGTCAGTGTGAAATGATCAGTGGCTTCAGCAGGTCCTTTTTTACAAGTTTCCTTTTCCTGGGGACCCACTTTTACAGTAAACCTGATGCTGGATTTGCAATTATGTTATAATTTATTTGGAAAGATTTCTGAGGTTTTGTTCTTCTCAAATGCATCACGTCAAAATCAATTAAAATGACTTACTTCTGCGGGATGTTTCTGCAGTTCTTCACCTGAGACATAACTGTGCTTTTCTTCTGTCGTCTGATTGGATATTATTTTTCTTCACTATAATTGCACACAAATTAAGCTCCATTCAGATGACACGGGTAATCAGTTTGAGTTTTGCTGGGATCCCTTTGAGGATATTTGTTTGGCAGCAGCGTGCAACACAACAACCATCAATAACAAAGAGGTCAAGACACACTATTTCAGGAAATAGCGGCATAATTATTTTACATTGTTAAGAAAGTATGGTTGCACTGTGGATAATCCATTTCTTGTTTCTGTTGCCCTTACACCTTGTGGCACAGAGGTGTCTTCCAGACAGGAGTACTGCCGATTCACAGTGGAAGGTATGCTAGATTCTTTACAACCCCTAACTGATAGAGGGTGTTTAGATTGATCGGATTTAGCCTGACGTTTTTGCTACTTATTTTCACTGTTTTCCCCCATCCTGTTACAATGTGCAGCATCAGTGTTACCCTACCAGCAGATAAAAAGAGTATGTTAAGATGCTGTCATAACAACAGAGTGAAGGAAAATTATTGAATTAGTTTTGTTCACCCTTTTTGTTCAAGGTAGCTAAAAAAAAGCTTAGAAAAGCCTCTCCCGGCCTTTCTTATTTTTTAAAATAATTTTATATATTGGCAGCTAAAGATGTCAAGTTTTGTTTGAAAGGAAGCAGTCAGGAGTTTGGTTCTTGTGTGTCGGATATCTGCTGCAGGATGTCCGCCAGGCCTCTAGCTGCTCTTGTCTGTTCTCGTTTGCGTATTGTTATCTGTTTTAAACAGCATCTTTTTTTTCCCCCCTGCCTTGTAGGCCCAACGTCTGTGGCGCCGCCTGCTGTGCTGGATGGACTGTGGCCCCGAAGACAAAAAAATGCACAAAACGTGAGTGTGCTGCCCCTGAGAAGTCCTTTTGCCTTGCTCCCCTGGGTTTGAGGAGCGCAAGTGAGCTTTCAGTTCCCCTGCCTCGCTGATACTGTATCTTTTCATTTGTGCTTAAGCCATGGGCCTTGTGTTTTGAGCTGCGAACACGGCGGTGTCCATGGCTACCAACTGATGCCCTTTAAAGATACAACCCCCCCCCTCCCCTTGCTGGTGGAAGAAAAGGAAGGCTAATATGTCAAAAGTGCTCTTTCTTCCTTCGAACTGGGCCCTCAGGAACTCGTGTACGCTACCTGTGCATTCCCATTGCCTGAACTGTATAGTGGACTCCATAGCAAAGGGGACACCAGTATATAATGACTGCTATGCTGTATGATGTGCGTCACTGGTCTAGAAAGTTCATGGCACCCACCCCTCCTCCGTATCTTCTTCCACCCGTTGTACATCTAGCAGAGTTTGACCTCCAGATCGCCCCCAGATTCACCTACAGTGTCATAACGTGAACACCCAGGACATGGTGCTGTGCCCCACCTTGCCCCCTTACTGTGCTCCCTGTAGAAACTGGAAAAAGCATTCTCAATGACTGAGAGCCATTTCACTAGAAATGTGCTTGAGTGCATCAGAAACTGCTTGTATTTGCAACGGCCATTGAGGTGCTGCTGGTATCTACGAGCTTTCCAGATGGGATGCTGCAGTTTGCGAAAAACCTTGAACTGAAATTTGAATCCAAAGGTTTCTAATAGGCCATCATCATGGGGAGGGGGAAGTTAAATAGGGTGTATTTTAACAGGAGTGAGAAGGTCAAACAGATTTCTAGTGCAGTGCTGTCTGCGCTGTCTGTGTTCTTACCCAGAGATGCTCTGGGGTACTCTTTGAATTCTGGGCAGGGGGATGGGGGGGCGCGGGAGACAGAAAGGGGATTTTTGGATACGGGGGAGCTGGAGAGAGACCAGGTCTTATCCTTGAGGAGGTTGTGCATCTCTGCGGTGTTGACGCGTCTCTCCCCGCGCGCCTCTCGCAGTGCTGTGGGAATTCTCATCTTCTCGCGACTCCCGAGCGAAAACTCAGCCGGGGCCCGGCTCGCTGGCCGCAGCTGCTTGTCAGATTGTAGGGGGCTTCTCTGTATGCGGCCTTCGTCTGCTTCCAGTCCTCCATTCAGACTTTTCTCTCGCCGTCCCTGTGCCTCCCTCTTCAAATGCCTGGAGCTCAGTGGCCCGCTAAGCCCCCGTGAATGGGGAGGAGGGGGGCCCTGATGTAAAAGCGTCAGTCTTCTCCGCAGAGGCTGATGGGAGCCAGGTCTGTGTCTGCTCTGAGGTCAGGGCCACACTCCACATCTTATTTCTGCGATTTCATGACCCATCCTTTTCAGAAACAGAGCTCTCTTCTAATGTAGTGAAGAGCTCAGATCCTTAATGAAAGGGTAACTTTAGTTGAGATATTATTTGCCATAGAGGCCTTCTGTATTAAAAATGAGCATTTCATTTTTGCATAATGGAATCGTCCAGCTTTCCCCCAACACTTCTTAGCCTTCTGCATGAGTGTCACAAGCTTAATACGGATTTATTTGGTTAACATATTTATTCAGAGCCTGTAGCCCGTACCTGTTTATACAGCTGAGTATTTTACTGGAGCAGTACTTTGCTCAAGGGCACAACAGCAGTGTCTCACCTGGGATTTGAACCCGCAACCTTCTAGTTACAAGCCCAGAACACCGACCGCTCCTTCACCCTGCTGAAAACATGGGGTCTGCTTTGCATTTAGTCCTCTTGCATACCTGGGCCAGCTTGTAGCACAGTCTCACCCCTAGCCAAGAGGACTGTATCACAGGCACTGGGAGGAGTTGGCACAAGAGATTTCCCTCACAGAGTGGGGTAGGCGCATGACGAGACACAAAATCACAGCGAAAAGCTCCTAGATAACAACCCTTTACTAACTTTGTTGGGAATAATAAGAAGAATGTAGCCTTTAATAAAAAATACAAAAGAGTTTGGTCCACATTACCCAGAGATGTGGTAGTGTAAAATTCAGTCCCCAATAGCTCAAGTACGAAATTCAACACAAAATGCCGTGTTTTCCCTTTCCTATGGTACTGGCTTCATTTCAGTTTTAACAACAGCCTTAAACTAATCTGTTCTGTTACTTTTATACTTTTTTTTATTCCCACAAAAAATGTTGCTTCAAGCTTCTTGAAAAACTTTGCTAGCACTGAATTAAGACTCCTTAATGACAAATGAAACAATTTTGTTCTTTAAAAAAAAAAATTAAAGATGGGTGCAGAAGACGTTTTTAATGTGTCTTCTGACTTGGACATCTTTGTGATTTTCTTCCAAACCCACGCTTGGTGAATATCAGGTGTTTATTCTGCAGTTCTCTAAGATAATAAATAAGTACTAGACTCTTAGAAGTCAGATTATTTATGTTGAAGAGAAACTCTGGCTGCTTCTAACGTGTGAATGAGAAGGTTTGTGTGTGCAGCTGACAGGTCACTTGAAAATCCATCTGGACGTTTATTTTATGATTTAAATTCTACTGCTATTCTGTAGCCAGTTCCAGTCCTTAAGATTTACAGTCCTGCAACTGTTTTTTCTGTGTTCGCTCAGAGCAAATCTGAGGCCTTCACTGGCAGAATGTTTGCACGTATAGGAATAAACCTGGAAAAAACGAATCAGTTCCACTCACCTAGGTTCATTTCTGGTTTTGCTTTTTAATCACAGTGCAAAAACTCAAAAGCTGAAAGGTTGCGGTGAAAAGGCTGTACGGTTAGAAACAATATCCAGCATCATCTTTCAGGAGAACCCAATAGAAATCAGATTCATCTGCAGTAATAACAGGGATATTACCCCTTTAACAGGTTCATAAACAGGTTATTAACAGGTTCATTACCCTGCAGTAATGACGGTTATTACCCAACCATTATAATGTCACGGTTATACATGATAACCATGAATTAGGATTTCAATTTACTTTCTTTAAAAATGCCTTTTAATAGAATTTCGAATGAAGAGTGGCTTAAAATTTGTGAATTTCAACGGAGATGTACTAACTCGCATTTATGGAGAGAGTTTTGCTGGAAAAACATTGTTCGATTTTTCATTCATAAGGCTTTTCTGGAAAGAGTTACATGAGGCCCTGGAAACTATATTTGAAAGGAATGTACCCTTTACATTTGAGACTTTATATTTTGGCAAACTGGATTTTGATTGGAGAGGATCTGACGAATATTTGCTTGGAATCCTTATATCAGCAGGGAAGAAAGCTGTAACAAGAAAGTGGCTTCTCCCAGATTTCCCAACAATGAATGATTGGATTGAATTAATAAAAGAAATACATATAATGGAAAAAATAACATTTTCCATTACAAATTACAATTACAAATTAAAATTACAAATGAAACAATTTGTCAAATATTGGTCTAGATGGGTTCAGTACATTAAACCTTGGGATTTTGTTGAGATACAAAATAACTGATCTCCTCCCTTTTCATATTCATAAATGTATACATCTTCCTTCTTTTGAATGTATATAGTTTTGTTTAAAAATTATATAATTGTAAAATACTTGGGGAACAAACAGGAATAGATCATTTTTGTCTGTGAAGTAAGGCTGAATAATGGTGGGTTATATGTAAACGTTTTTTGTTTTGTTCTCTAAAAGAAATAATAAAAATGCCTTTTAAATTGGACAATTTGATTTTGCATGATCGCCATCCAAGTTTTAAAAACATCTTAAAAATGGGTAAACTCGACTAAAGTCTCAAGTGACAACATATTTTGATCTTTTTAAATGTATACACATAATCTGTTTACGTACGATATGCTTACTATTTTCTCAAGCCTCTGAGCCATTGCAATCCACTGACAGCAGAAAGGTTTTACAGCGCGTCTTGTCCCTCCAGCACTAGCTTTCTCCTTCCACTAGATGTCTCCATCATAGAGCCATCTGAAAACTGGCACCTCTTT